ACAATTTTGTTGTTGTTCTTGTATCTGCATAAAAATTACCCAAAGAGTTTTTGTCTGGGTTGCTCCGGTTACACAGAGCCGACATGTGAAAGCGATTGCATACGAGCTGACGGACCGTGTTCTAAGGTATACAAATACTGGACCCGACATCGTACTCGACTTACAACGACTCCGGACCTGTGAATGCCGTTGTGGGAACACAACCACCTGACGTGGACGAGACAGAGCTTTGACTGCCTCGGAAGACTCCCACCACCATAGCTCAACTTCTCTCTGGATACTGCAGCAGCCTAAACTCGTACCTGAGTAGAATAAACGCAGATGTGCCCTACGAGTGCCCTGCAAGCGGAGTGGCACTTAATGACTCACGAAACTTCTTCTCCTGCCCCCAAAACCCCATTTAGCTAAGGCCCTTGTCGCTATGGACCAACCCAGTCGGAGTTGCACGTTTCCAGGGTAATCGGTTATTAGTTGAACTTGACGACAACGACTGAGGGACAAACCGAACTAGGCAAGGTTGAATAGCCGCTACAACGACGGAGGCAGGAGGATGAAACTGAGAAGGACAGTAGGTTGTTTTCTTTGAATGATCCAGACAGAAATTCGTTATTGGCGTTTTCCTTTCTACCAAACAATTTTGCCTTCTCATTTCCCTCTGCTCACAAATACAAAAAGAGGGTATTAAAAAGGAAAAATTTTTTGTAGAAAAGAAACGCCATGTGTTTTGCCCGAAGTTAGCTATCTTGTGACATATTCGCTTTAGCTTTCATTACGTCTTCAAAAATCATAATTTTTGGTTGGAAATTATGCAACCTTGTATGGTAAAATTTCAGTAAGGTTATGTATGTGGCGGGCTGACGCTGCCGCTGTCAAGAGTTCGGTGGTCACAAAAGTTCTGTGGAGAAGCCCTTTTAAGCCATCTAGATATTTTTACGCATCCATAAATTGCCGGGGGCAGTCGATACCTTAGCTGTACAGCTTCTCGAAACGGTTGTTCCGCAGAAATCTGAAGCGCTTACTTCGTTACGAGAGTTATTTGCCTAGAAAGTACTTAATGAATTTTACCTTTTACTTGTCTTTTTTTGATAATATTTTAGTTATTTTTAATTTCATTTAATATCCTTATAAGCCTTAGCGATTGCATCTTTCCAAAGTAGTCGGTAAGTACACTTATTTTTACATATTTCAATAAACATACATTAAA